TTAAGGCGGGTTCGACGAACACGGTTTCGCTTTCGCCTCGAAACCTCCCAATAATAACATTTTTTTCGTCCGAGGGATGGGGGGAGGGGAGGGGGGCCTAGACTCGCGGGCCCGAAACAGGAATACCATCCCGAAAATTTGTTTAACGACGCCGACCAGCTCGAAATAGGCGCGGACGATCGATAGCGGGACACGTGGAACGATATCTGTCCTCATCCTAGGACGAGGCTTCTTCTAAATTTCTCTGGAGGAGGCTTCTGAGGAACCTTTTCGTATTCGAGATTATTACGGTAATCGAAATTATTTTTCTGAATCGTATCTGGGGATCGAGATATCTATACCCTCTCGTATCCAAGAGATAATATATTCATAAAAATAAATAAAAATAGATAGATTCGAAATAAAAATAGATAGATCAGTAATATCTTCTTTAAGTATAGAGAAAATTCGTCTTCCGTTCAATCGCCCGTATATTAAAAAGTAAAAAGCATTCGACCAACCCATTCTTCCTCCTCCTCCTCCTCCTCGCCAGACTCATCCAACATATCCCGATCGAGAATCAAGATCCGCGGAAAGCGAGGAGCAAAACGTCCCCGTTCGCTCGAATACGATTCGACCGAATCGGCGATCTTCCGGCAAGAGTCACGAAGAAGCAGAAGAAGAAGAAGAAGAAGAAGAAGAAGAAGAAGAAGAAGGAAGAGGAGGAGAAGAAGAAGAGGAGCGTGGAACACGGGGAGGAGAAGGCGATGCGGCTTGGCCGATGCAAAGCTCGAGCCGGGGGCCCTCGCAGAAACATTGTCGGCTCCGTGGCTGTCGTCGGTGGAGCACAGTGCGGTCCGTTAGTTCGAGAGGCCGTTGTGTCTGGCTAACAAGTCGACCCTCGTGGCCCCTCGAGGGTGGTCGGCCCCGGGAGGTCTGCCGATCACGCGCCCGGTATCGGCTACTCGGACACGCCCGCGGTCCGTCATCCCATCATCCACGCTCGTACCCACGGACACGACACCGAGCGTCCTCGTGCACGAGCGAGGAGAGGATCGTATACGGCGCGAGGAGCAGGTACAACGCGTCTCCTCGTCCACCGCGGGAGATAGGATAATGTTCCGCTATTTGGACGATGCCAACGCTCGCTTCGAAATAACCGAGAGCCACCCATGGAGAGCGCGAGCCAATCGTCCCGACTTCGCTCCCATGCCGATCTATTTCGATTATTTTGCCCGCGTTGCGAATTGGAAATTGGGAATAGGAGGGGGCGGGGGAGGAGAGGGGGGAAGGGCGTTTCACCAAGTTTCGGATTTCCAGAGATTTCGAGAATCGGAAATACGAGCGAGACGAAGGAGATTCTTAACACGAGTTTTTTTTTTAAAATTAAGGGATTGTTATATATAAAATTGTCGATTCTTTTTGAATCGCTGTATCTTTGGGAATGAATATTGAATTAAAAATTTAATTTAGGCGTATAGAAGTAATGATTTTAATCTTTAGAACGGGAAAGATTGATTGTTGTACGATATTTCTTTCCGAAGTTATAGCAGTTCATTTAAGCAGAAATTAGATAAGATAATTTTTGTTCTATCGAAAAGAAATAAATATTGATAGAAACCACTTCTGTTACGAATCTTCTGCTTTCGTGTATCTTGTAATCTATTGTCTCGAGACAACAGAAATCGAAATTAATTAATAAAAATGGAAAATAATAGTTACGAGGATCGAGCAACTCCATCGAATTTCGATATCCCTCCCCATAAAATCGATCGAGATTTCACGAGAAGCGAAAAAAAGAAAAAGATACGCGAGTCGTATAAACCTCAAAACATCAACTTTCTCAAAGACTTTGTTCGAAGCTGACTTCTCTCACGCGCTGTTTATTCGACAATATCCCCGCATCGATATTCCGATCGAGAGACGAAAAAAAAAAAAACAACAACGAGAAGAACGAGAACGAAAAAAAAAAAAGAGAATAAAAATGAAAAAGAAAGAAAGAAAGAAAGAAAGAAAGAAAGAAAGGAAAAAAAAAGTAGAAAGAAAGGAATAAAGCGACGACGTTTTCCCACGTGATCCGGCGAAACGAAAGAGCCGGTTTTCTCTCTCTCTCCTCTCTGTCGAGTGGTCCGCCGATCGCGAGTGCCTCATTGTTTCACGGCACAATAATGGGCCTGCGTTTCGCTCGCACAACAAGCCGGGAGGACAAGTGTGCGAAAAGCCGAGAGGGCGCCCGCTCCATCGAAAGAAAACGAAGGCGTGTGCGCTCGCGCTCAAAGAGCGCGCAAAACACACAAACAGCCGGATTGCAATAATGGATGCGTGTTGTACAAATACGATATCGGCTCGAGGGGGTACCCCTCCCTCTCGGCCACGTGACCCTTTTCAAAAGGACTCGGAATATAACGAACACCCCCAATGGCGCAACCCCCACAGGGTGCACGCTCCTAGGCTCGTGCCCTCCACCAGTTACCACCGGGGTTAACTTACATGTCTATCCGCTAATACGTGCTGGAATATGTTTTTCTTTTTTTTTTCTTTTTTCTCCCTTTCCATCTTGCTTCTTCTTTCCTCTATTCACAAGGGTCGCTTTCTTTCCTTCTCCTTTCTCTTTCTCTTCTTTTGTTCCGTTGGTTTTTTTATTCGTCCGTTGGTTCGATGCTGTCGTCGAATCTAGTGCTAGTTAGCGCGATAGGTAATAATTTCGTGTCGCGGATTATAGGTACTCGTCGAAGGGTTCACACGATTTCTAAAGTATTTTCTTCTAAGAATCGTAATTTTCGTTTCGAAGAGGAAAGTTACGACGTTCAATGAATCTATCTTCGAAATAGTGCTAGGAAATTTAGGAAAAAATCAATAAATGCAAAATGTACGCGTAAAATTACAAATCGAAAAAAAACTCTTCTTCGAATCTCCTCTCACCGAAACGATCTAAGAGAATGGAAACGAACGGTGAATGGGAATTGTAGCGGGAAGATGGACTTCTCACTCGTCTGTCGAAATAGAAAATTTAGATGGAAATTCGAGAGGTTAGAAGCGTGATTCTCATTCCTAAAAGTCCCGATCGCTCGCCACCCTCGATAAATCACTGGCCGGGTACAATTAGCGAAAATGCATGGCGCGATTTGCGGCGACACGCCGAATGCCGAGTGCTCAGGAACGGCGGGGATCCGCGTAAAGACACGTGTCGAAATAAACCGCGTGCCTATAATAGCTTCTGAATTGCGCGTGCACGCCCCATACGATATTCCGCGCGTTTCTCTTTCGTGCACCACGCCCCATAGAGAAAACCTGGGCCGTGCCGGGGGTCCATCGAAACGACGTGACGTTTTTATCCTTGCAGGCTGTCCACGACGCGTGTCATCGATACCGCTCCATTAGAGGAAAAGTTTATACGCGGCTCGATCGTTTGGAGGGAAATTGCGTCGTTCGACAGGAAGATGAACGCGATTATTATGCGATTATTACACCACGTTTCCCCGCGAGTGAGGTGAAGAGACATCTTGGACGATGTGACTTTTTTTTTTGGATTTTATCCTGTATGTGGTTTTTTTTTTCCCCCAGTAATTTTCTTTCTTTCATTTCAAATATATTGTTTCAAATTTTTCTCGATTACGTGAATTATTATGTTTAATTCATCCTCGTTGGAACGCTAAGTAAGAGGGTGGTTGGTAAATCAGGTTGTTCTTACAGGTTTAATTGAAGTGCTTGAATATTTTGTTGTTCGTATCTTGCTCTTGTTAAAAATTGATTTTCTTCGTTATAATTCGAATTGATGTATTCGTTCGTGTCCCCTTAATAAAATTCTATATTTTCATAATTTTTTCATAAAATCGGTTTATCGTTCGGTTAATCGATTGTCGCTGAATTATTCAGAAGGCGAATCTATAATTCATTAAACGGTACGAGTTGCGGTATGATCGCCGCGAAACTCGTGGACTAATTTCGATTCGCTGATCGATAGTCGTTGCTGTGATAATCAGGGGAATAAGTTGAAGCGCGCCATCATTTTTATTTACACACCGGTACGCAAATTGACGTGTGAAGTACACACTTGTATCTGACAGTTCAGGCCGGTAACATGAAGTAGCTGGTAGAGAAAAGTTCCCGTTCGATTCGTTCGAGAGGAAATCGTGTATAAATATTAGAAATCACGTGTTATTTCTCACGATATTAAAACACTAAAGATTATTTACGATTATCACGATTTTAATTTATTTGATTTAATTTATTTTTCAAAGAACAGAATCGTACGATTTATTGATTTTTCCCTTGATACGATAAAACTCGATGGAGTTTTTTTTTTTTTTTTTTTTTTTGTACGCCAGATAGAAGATTTTTACGAAAATTGTATGGGATCGCTTTAATTGGATTTATTCGATTATTCGGTTCAATAAACAGGAAAAATTACTTTAGAAAAGTCAGCGTTAAATTCGACGCAACGAACGCTCTTGGGGGCAAATGCAATTCTGCAGATTTATGATTACCACGAACGCTTCGATGGATAATTTTTTTAATACGTTCGAGAAAATTTATAATAAGAACGGTGAAAATTCGAATTTTATATCGAAACTTTCGTATAACTGCAAAATTTTATATGGACGCGAATGTATTAAAATATTTATAACAGTTGGTAAAGGATCAATAATAATGTCGATAAAACAGAATGAAGGATCAATTTCTGCTTTACTGTTTTACCTACTGTTATACTGACAGAATTTTTAGGGCTTGAAATTACCGAGAGTGGTTTATACAGAGACTTATCGTTATGTTATGAGATTTAATATTCCATGAAATATTCCAAGAAATATTAAAATATTTAAAAAAATAAAATTTAAAACGGCAACATTAAAAATTATATTCAAATTAACTATTAAATTTATGAAAATCCAATAATTAAATAATAGTTGAAACAATATATTCGTGAAAAATAAAATTCTATGCTTCCAAACGACCAACCATCAGAAAAACAAAACTTCCAAACGACCAATCATCAGAAAAACAAAAATACAATGACTCACCATTAGATGAAAACAAAAACGTTGTTACGAAGCAAAAGGACGCAATATTCCACGATGACTACGAACATCTTACGAAGGTCTTGTAAAGTAATATCTGCAAAGATAAATTATAAAGATACATTATAAAAATTAATTTAAGAAATGAGTAATTAAAAAATTCTAAAATATAATAAGAAATATATAATAAAAAATTAAATAAAGACTTAAAATATAAAAAAGGAATTAATAAAAGAGTTAAATAAATCTATATAGATAAAGAAAGCAAATAGTGAGAGAATGATAAAGATATATTAAAAATTGCGAAATTAGCGCCATCTCTAGAATGCCATAAATGAAATTAATAAAGAAACTAACAGACAAAGATAGGAAATAGTGGGAGAAAGACAGAAATAGGGCAAGAATTGACTATCAACGCCATCTTTTACGTGTCAAATACATTTCTCTAAAGGCACTTAAAAAATGGCGCTACTCCTTAACTATTTCTTAATTGTTACATTAACTTACTCTGCTTTTGGAGTTTGTGAAGAAATATCCTTAACATTTATAGATAACACTGTCACACCGATAATTCAATAGCCTTTTTCTGTCCACGACAACGAAATGTATCTTCGCACGGCGAATAAAATGCGCAATATCGTCACAGTCGTAAATAATTACATATATACTATAAATACTCGCAAAAAAAATACATGCACTTTAAACACACGCGAATATATATATTTTAGACACTCATAAATAAAACGTGTGTATTTTAGAAGCAAAAATTATGCACGATTTAAAATTATATTGAAAATCGACGTGCGCGATACCAACGCGTGTAAACACGACCGCGGTCGAAGCGGAACTGTGCTCTATCCCCACTCGGTAAGTCGTTCGATGGGTAAAGACACGCGCCGATAACGACGCAAATCAAATATTTACTAATATTTCTTAAGTGTGAAATATTTCGATTTTACAATTTTCAATCTTGTACGATTAATTTATTAACTTTATAATAAAAATTATTTATGTACAATAATTTATAAATTTATAATTTATTATATTTATCGATTTTATAAATAATTTATTATTAAAATTTATCGTTTTGATATTATCGTTTGATATGTGACAAATAATTATTATTAATTTAATCATCAAAATTGAAAATAAAAAGAATTTATAAATTATCGTGATTATTGATTATTATATTGAAATAATACAGGAATTTTTCTTACCCACTCTCGTACATATTTTTGCACTTTTAATAATTATCTTTCTATTGAATCGATTAAATTATTTTAGAATTTCTTATTATCGAGAAAAATTCGCTAAAAAAAAAGAAAAAGAAAAAGAAATATAATCCGATTTAAATATTTTTTGGTTTTATTTTTTGGAGATATAAAATCAAACGATAGTAAAATCAAGATCGAATATATTATTAATTAACTATACGCAAACAATCCTATGAAATTTGCCAAACAAACAGACGATACGTCAAATAGGGAGAAGTGCACTACAAACAATCGAGTATATCGAAACGCGATGAGCCCCAGGAAATATCGTCAAAATGCTTATCAGGTTTGCGTAAATATTCTGAAAGCGAGACATTTACCCCAAAATGCAAATTCAAGGGTGGTGGTTAGAGTGGGAAAGAAGAAGAGAAAGACCGTGATTCGCAAGAAAACGGACTCTCCGATCTTCAATGAGGTGAAATTGAAAAAAATTCCTCGTTCCGAAGAAACTCCCCCCGAAATTCTTCCCTATTTATTAAATTCTTTAAATTGTACTTACAGTACTTCGTGTTCGATCTTTTATGCGACTTAGACGAACTTTTGAGCACTAAAATTATGATAACCGTGTACGTGAAAAGTTTTCTGTGTTACAAATTTCACGGAAACGCGACTTTCGAAGTTGCTCTGGTGTGGGATCAACCAGGTGATGCGTAAAATTATTCAATTCAATTCTTCGGTTTACTGATGATTAAATTGATCGATTCTGATATAAAATTTATTGAATGATAAGATGGATTAAAATCGATACAGATCGTCATTATTTTCACAAATGGGCAATGTTGACAAATCCGAAGGATCTTTCCGCGGGGCCGAAAGGCTACGTTAAATGTAATATAGCGATTAATGTAAAGGGAGAGAAAATGAAAGTGCATCCGGAGACAGAGGGCGAGGACGACATCGAGGGGTAATTTTATTTTTTCTTTTACTTTAAAACATACTGTCACCCGAGTGATAGTACTTATTAATTACAAGTTATTAAGAACTTTCTAATGGAGGAAGAAACTTTGGACGCGAATCAAATTAAAAATTACTGGACCTTTTACCGGACGTTAATATTGTTCGTCATAATCGATACCTGGCCCGACGAACTTTAACGCAACCCCATCAAAAAGTGCTCTAATATTTATTGCATTAAAATTCAAAATTCTTCTTCTTTTTCAGACAATGTCGCGTCTTATTTCCAACTTACATTTTAAACCGTTATTTCACCACACTCGTATAAAATTATGCTGGAAAATTAATCGGCAAAAAAGACAAAAAAAAAAAAAAAAAAATTCTCAAATACTCGTCGAATTTGAATCGTCCATTTTTTCAATCCCAAATCGAATATCGATTGTAATGGAATAAAAAAAAAAAAAAATCGAAGATCATATTTGATCCCATCGCATAGATTCAAAATTCTCAATGTTCTCGATCTATAAATTTTAACTCTTAACCGTTCATTTACATACATATTGCCAGCCTTCTCTCGATGATGGAATACACACAGACATCCCTTTTTTTTTTAAACGTTACACGATGTTCACACGCGACGCGTGTTACGAAATCGATTCGGGAATTGCCTCCGACTCGAAATGCACGGGCATCTCGCTCGCGCAGGCCGATTAATGGAAATCGAATATAATTACAGGAACCTCTTGCTGCCGGTCGGTGGCGAATTTGTAGCCTACAGGCAACGAGCATTGTACATTTTTACGATTTATCGGGCCGACGGTTTGCCAGACATGAGCAGTTTCTGTACGAAAAGTGATTACGAGAATATCAATCCGTTTGTGCAGATATCGTTCGCCGGGATGAAGGTTAATTGGATATTAATATAATTGGATATTTACACACTTTCCCTCCCGAAGTAAGCTCACCTTCTACAATATTTGATATTTCCAGCAAACGACAAGGGAGGAGTGGCAAACGTACAGACCATTCTTCAATCAAAAGATCATATTCAATGAAATGTTTCCATCCCTTTGTCAACGTGTCAGGATAGTTATTAAACATCGCGTTAACACTTGTCGAACGTGCGTAGTCGCCTCTTACATCCTAAATCTGGCCAAAATTTTCCATTCCGGAAAGTACGGTAAATTCGAATAATCTTTATTCGTATTTATTTTATTGAAAATTGGTCGAACGATAGTGTAGAGTTTAAAGTAACTCTTCGGGAAAATGATGAAAAATTCCCGTTCTGGAAATTAATAATATAACCATTGCTCGTATTCGGAAAAGCTGATCGAGCATTAAGCGGTAAAATAAACGGAAAAACCGTGTTGAAGAACAACGTAGAGGGAAGAAAATAAAGGGAAGAAACGAATTGGAATCGATAAATTAAAAGGGCGAACGATCGTACGTAAACGAAATTCAAATAACCAGTTGCAAACGAAACATTGATTAACCGTGGCCATGTTTCCACCGTTATATTTGTATTTTAAATTCTTTCTCCATCCTTTTTTCGTGTAACTCGTTTGCATTTAATGCGATATGCAATGTCGCAAACGTTGGCTCAATTCGATTTTTCGCTTTTTTCTTTCCTCCTCCATTTTTCAATTCTATTTCGATCGTATTCGATATTTCAACTATTTCTTGGTTTTTATTGCGCTTCTTCTTTTTTTTTTTTTTTTTGCGAAATGAAACGTAGAGAGGAAATGGTCAATCCAAATTGTTCGAACAATTTAGATTGAAAGAAATATCATCGATATGATAAGTTGTAAAATATTCGATTACGATATTTTGATTTTGAATAAAGAGTAGAGAAACTTTTGTTTCTTTCATTTTTTGTTAGATTTCCTGCCGACTTTTGGCCCATCGTTCCTTCATTTTTACGGAATCGGAAACACCGAGAGGAACACTTGTTTCGGCAAATGTTTCTCAGCTCTTCCTTTGTATCGAGGAAGAGTTCTCCTGTCCTTAAAAACTGAAATCGATGATTCGGAAATGACTTCTGGAATTAGTACTGAAACAGAGCCCGCGGTTCCCATTATCGAGGTCTGTATACATTTTCCTTGTAAGATTAACTTCCTCCTCTCACCAAGTTGAAACAAAAAAATTCTCCCTTGAAACTTGCAAAATTTCTAAATTTGTTTATTTCGTAAGCTTCAAATTTCAAATTTTCTCTTCCTAGAAGCTTAACAAACGAAATCGAAAGCAAGAAGTTAGTTTTAAATAGAAACAGATCGTCTCTGATCAGACGCAACGAATTATATCTCTGTGCAATATTTACGTGCTCGTACGTGCACGTAAAAAATTGAATTGAAGTTCATATTTAAGAAAACGAATTTCTAATGATAATTATAAAATATAAGAAAAAGGTCGATCTCGATCAATTCGTTCAAAAGACCAATGAAGATTAATTTTAAAACCTCATGCTTCATATCGTGTGGTGTATAAAGAAGGAGCGCATAAATAATACACAAGATAATCCAACGTAATCTCGATTCATCGATTTAACGATCTCCTCGCGTGATTCTACACGGAACGAAAGATTGCTTTCGTTATAACGTTCAATTTAATGTCAAACCGTCGTAGTTCGGGATTTTACGAGAATTTTTTCACCCACAATTAATAATTCGTTTCGAGAAATATTCAATTCAAAAACAAAAAATATCTTCGACTCGTTTCGAATTAACTCCTTTCGAAATATCTCGAGAGATTAACTTGATTAAAATTCCTTACTTATTTACTCCATCTTTCGCAATCATTAACATCGACCTCTCTCTCTTTTCTCAAAGAAAAGCTTGTGGAGAACGGAAGAATATTATCTGGTCGCAGTGTTGTACGACGCGAGCATGATCGATCGTAAGAGATTTTGGATGAGATCGATAATCTTCGAGATCAGCATCGGGAACGCGGGTAACAAACAATTCGGGCATAGCCAATGCTTCGACAACGACAAGGATATAGGTATATATGGTATTCAATTGGTAATGTTTCGTTAACAAAATGATTACTCGATTACTTGTCGAAACTTGCGTATCAGATACGAAGACACGTCCTCCATTCCTCCTCCCAATTTCTCGTTAATTAACACGCTCGACGAGTTTGCCGTGGAGAGCGCGCATCGTTGCCCCTGTGTAAATTGTGATTAATTCTCGACAGGAAACCAGACGCCGGATCAGAGGCCGGAGTTCGAGAGTCAGACCATGCCGCGATACACTGGGACGCTGGACGGGAAATATAATTATGTGCCTCTTGGATCGCGAAAACCATGCCTCTACGTTAAATCCTGGTGGCCGAATCTCGAGTGGCGGATGCATAACAGTAATTATTTGACTTTCATCGCTAATTTCCTGGTGAGAATCGATTATGCGAATCTTGAATATTTATCGTTATTTTGTTCTTCTCTGGCAAACAATTAAATACAGTGGAACTTCTATGTTCTTTTGTTAATCCGTTTCTGAAAAGAACGATGTAATTTAATTTTTTTCCACTTAAAAATTAAGGAGAGAGGGAAGGAAATGATCGTCAGCTTTGTTCAATGAATAAATAAAAAAGTAAATCGTGTAAGTAAGAAATTTTTTGGCGACGAATATAGAGGTTCCACGAAATATATTGCGAAATAATTTTAATTAGGCTTTAATTTTTATGATAGAATAGAATCGACTAAGTAAGATACACGTTTTGAACTTTCGAACTTTCACGAATTCCTGGCTTCCTTCGAAGTCAATGTCGAGCGAGAAAACGACGAAACTTTCATTCAAAATTCTCGATAACTGGCCAATTTTTCGAAAGCGCCGGCCAAACACGTGGCACTTTCGAAAATTTATGAACACGGGAGTTAAAAAAGTGATCGAGCGGAAAGTTTCCAACACCGAATCGAAAGAAATATTTAATATATCAGGAGCAAGGTTCTCACGGTGTGATCGCGGAGAGGGAGCAAGTTTGTTTCGAAACTGGCGCAGCGATTTCCAGTATAATTTTAATTCGTCTCGACAGGAGGAGAAGTTGGAGAAACTGGAAGGCATGGTCGCGCTCGAGAGCGCTGATGCTTACATATTTTACAACGCGATGATTTGTAACTTGAACAACTATTGCCTCCGCTATTTGGATATGTTAGACACTGGACGATACGACCACGAGGGCGGTACCACGAAGCTCGATCGGTATCGCGTGAATTTCTGCCGTAACGAGATCGAGAACATTCTGAAGAGGATCAAGATCAACGGCCAACTTCCAAACAACAATTACATCAGAATCGCTATGGTGCATGGATACCAATATCTCGGCAAACTGAAGAAGCTACGAGAAGATGTGAGTCGTTTTGCTTTACGTTTTCTTACGACGTGCAAACTTTTTATAATTCGAATGAGCGATTGTTTGAAAGAAAAAAAAAAAAAAAAGAAAGTACTTCGATCTTATGGGGATGATAGTCTCTCTTTTCTTTTTTGGTTTAATTTTGAAAGAAACGACATTTGTTTTTTTATAAAGCGATTAAGATTCTAAAAAAGATTTCGATTCAAGAAATTTAATCGATACTTTCTTTCAACCTCGATAATTTTCTGGAATTTTCTCCTCCAATAACAGGATTTTCCGAATTATATAGAAATTCCTTTCAGAGACGTATTAAATTCATTACATTACAAAAAAGGAGAGACTCACAAAAAGGAAGTTTTAAATATTGCAACGAGACAGTCCAAACTTAGCTGCAGCTTTTTTTCCCCTTTTGACAACTAGTTCAATTTCGCGCAAGAAACTGATTCTTGAGGAAAGGGAAGGGGAGGAAAAAAGGAAACAAAATTCGTTCCAAAACTTTTTACCTTTTCTCGCCTCCCCCTCTTCTTTTTCTTCTTATTCCACGGATCTTCCACGGAGAATAGGAGACAACGAAAACGCTGACCTCTTCCTCTTCTTTCCCTTGCAAATCCCGTGAAATATTTAAACGCGCGCGTGTCCTTCCAAGTTTCGTGCACCGTCATGGAAAATTCATCTCACCGCGCGATACAGGATGTGTCGTTTATAAATTCACCAGCCTCAGCACAGTCTCCCGGACGTTTTCATTTGGATGATAACCGGGTCGAAGCGGCGGGTGGCGTACGCCCGATTTCCGGCCGAAAAAATTATTTACTCGGAGGAAGCGGCGGAGAAGGGAACGCTTTGCGGCCGTCGAATGGACGTGTTTCTGAGAAATCCATGGGACAAGGAGGAGGCCGATTATATGGCCTGCAAGCTTGAAATTTTCCTCTGGCTTGGAAACGCTGATTATGTCGGTAAGAGTTAAGAATAAAAAATAGAAGACTTCTGCTCGGTAATTCTATATATATCTATGCGAAAAGCGCTCTTATTTTCTGCCAAAATAAAGAAAATGTAAAATGGCAAATAACGTTCGATAGAGCCTGAAGTCTCAAATTTATGAATTGTACTACGTTAAACTAAACCTTTATTTCGTCACTCGCTTTAACATTGCCTATAGGCTGAAGTGTGCTCATTATACTAATTTTGCTGTTCATAGCTTTGCTCTAAATTAAAGTTTCGAGCCTCGTTCTATTAATTTGCTTATAGTTTTGTTTCTTTCTCAAATTTTCAATCAGACTTTATATAACTTTGTTATCAACATGATTTGAAGAATATTGGTGTAAAACTTCAAATCTCTCTTTTAGTATAATTTTTATTAATTTATATAATTTTTGCTTCAGCAACCATCCATGTCCCAAAATAAGAGATTGAACAGATTGTTAACTTTTGTTTTTCATCATTCTATTAGTTTTGTTATTCATAGTTTTACCCTCTGAATTAAAGTATGTTAATTTGTATGTTGCTTATAGCTTTGTTTCTTTCTCAAATTTTCAATCAGACTTTATATAACTTTGTTATCAACATGATTTGAATAATATTGGTGTAAAACTTCAAATCTCTCTTTTAATATAATTTTTATTAATTTATATAATTTTTGCTTTAGCAACCATTCATGATCCATCCCAAAATAAGAGATTGAATAGATTGTTAACTTTTGTCTTTCATCATTCTATTAGTTTTGTTATTTATTTAATGGGTTTGTTTTGTTTTACCCTCTGAATTAAAGTCTGTATGTTAATTTGTATGTTGTTTATAGCTTTGTTTCTTTCTCAAATTTTCAATCAGACTTTATATAACTTTGTTATCAACATGATTTGAATAATATTGTAAAACTTCAAATCTCTCTTTTGGCACATTAATTTCTATTAATCTATATAGCTTTTGCTTCAGCAACTATCCATATTTCCAAAACAAGAGACTACTGTTGAGACTAATGAGACTAACTTTTGTCTGTTCTTCACCATTGTTCCTATGTTACTTACAGCTGCCTGTTGGTCCTCTATCCCTCCTGGTTACAACGTGAATCACGAGCAAACTATCTACACGTTCCCGAAATATTTGGAGTACACTCATTCAACGGTACGACAATTTCCATTTCAATGGGAAAATTTTTCGATGGGAACAAGGTCAAGCTTGAACGCGCCCCGTATACTGAGGGGGGAGGTTTAATTAATTCAAGAGACGGTTAGATAAAACAACAGCTACGTTTCTTTATTCGCAAAGAGTAGCTCCTTTTTCTTGTTTTTTAACTACATTTAACTACTTCAAATTTAATTACTTTTGAGTTATAAAAAAGCAATATGACACGATCACACGCATCCTTGACAAAAGTAATTATATTATCCTAACGATGCAATCCCATAATTACGTACACACCTTTTTTTGTACGGAACTATTTTTATACCGACTATTATACGTTTAATGCTTGTTCCTTTTTCTATTATAAACTTCTCGATGTCATATCGCTTTATATAATTTTATCGTGTTAACACTAATCTTTTTCTTTCTTTTGCTCGAATAATTCATGAAAATTAGACAAAAAAAAAAAAAGAATAATTAAAAAACGAAGGAAAAGAAGCTCTCTTTAGCTCCTTGAAAAAAATGTAGCTGTTTTATCTCTCGAAAGAGGGGATTAATCGAAACAACATTTTTTTTTTTTTTTTTTTATAACTCTCGTTGACGATGAAATACCCACTTTAGAATTCCACGTCTGTTAGATCGTTGAATGCGAAACGATATTCTTGTTCTTCAAGTTCGATTAAAATTTTAATGACAAAACTTTTTTCAAAACTTGATCGAGCATCGACGAACGTTGAAAATAATCCTTTCAAAGAATTCGAACCCCGCGATCTCGTCGCGTCCCCCCGTAATCCGTCCGCGTAATCGCGATTGTTCAACGAGAAACAAACTTGACGTTGATCCCTCTCGAAACTTTTAGAAACAGTTCAGCCCCAATACCATTGGAAATATTTCGAACGAAACGACAAAGTTAGTTTGCCATTCGGTCGCAGACATTTCAGTTGCGTGCTCACATATTCCAAGGTCGCTTTGATCCCGGTATGGACACATCCGGCTTGTTGGATCCGCTGATACGCGTCTGTTTCCACGGTTACTCCATCTCAACCAGGGTAAGTTTTCAACCCGTGTCGATAATTCACCCGACGAAACTCGTCGTCTCATTATAATTAAGATTTCCTTCCCTTCCTCGTTGGATCGTTACTCGGTAAATGGATATTTCTCTCCACTGACATTTATTCCTCCCGTAAGAAGGAACATTCAAATTTCTTTGGATCCATCGTGTTTTGTGCTGAATTATCGAGCGTTTACGAAAGTCTTGTAGAGTCGCATCGAAAATTCTTCGGTTGGGGCTGGCAACGTGCTCGGGGGGATTGAAAGTAAATTGTAAATTTTTCAGGTTGTCAAGCAGACTCTGGACCCCTTCTGGGATCAAACTTTGATATTGCCGCCGAGAACCGTGCACGGATCGAAAGAGTACATTAAATTAAACCCACCTATAGTTATATTGGAGGTGTACGACTTGGACATATGCGTGAGTGGATTCTTTTTCTTTTTTTTTTTTTTTTAAACGATCGTCTCGCTTGCACTACAGACGATCCGTTCCACGGATTAGATATTTATATAATAATGAATTTGTTGATGAATTTATCGATCGAATTTAATGATCGAAACGATCGACGAATCTGAAACGAGTGAAATTAGTTCCACGGAAATTAGTCGTCACGGAGTCGAAATTCACAGGGCATAAAGGAGTTTTGCGGAAGATGCACGGCGATTCCATTAGTTAAACTAGCGGAGGAAACTTACTCCCCGCCCGATTTCCCTCCGAAACTTGGATGGTACAAATTTAAATCTCAAAGGGATTTCTCTGGGTCGGTGCTCGCCGCCTTCGAGCTCATAGAGGTAAGGGATGCAAACACTCGATCGATATTCGTGTAGCGCACGAGAAAGAGAGGCTATCCGCGCTAATGAACCCCCTTTTCTCGTCCTTTTTGCGTGGATTCATTTTTTCCATTCCATTCTTCGAATCCATTTATAAAATATAAAAATAAAAATACAAATGTTAGGGGATAGCGTATTGTGAAACGATTTGATCAAAATAAAGAATATATAATGAGAAAGGAATAAATTGTGTAATATAGATGTGCCGATGTTTTTGTTTTATTGCGTATGTCGCATAGAACAGCGGTTCAAAAAAAGGGCATCAAATTCATTGACATCAAATTAACAATATAAATATACGAGATATGAGATCGTACATAAACTCAATATTAGAATATAATAAAATATAATATAAAAAATAACGCGAGTACGAATAACGTTTCATGATTGAAATTTGTTTTTTGGCAAGGGAATAAACCTTAAAAGATTTATTAAAGTTACTTGTTATTCTGACAGAGGTTTCTTTTTTTTTTTTTTTTTTTAAAGAAAAGTTGAAGAATGATTTAATTTTGATGAACAGGTAAAGGAAGAGGACGAAGACCTGGACAAACCTATTCATCGCTCGATGTTGGACACCATTTACACTATACCGGAAGATATCAGGCCGAAAATGGCAAGTTACAGGCTCGAAATAATATTTTGGGGAATGAGAGATATGAAGAAACTGTATTACATGCCCGTGATGAATCCTCGGATTATCATAGAGTGCGGCGGTGTTGACATCAAGTCGGAAGTAATGAGAAACGTCAAAAAATTCAGCAACTTCAAGAAACCTCACGTAATCATCGAATTGGTAATGACTTGACATTGACTTACGCCCATCCGTCCCAAGGAAAGTGCTGTCTATTAGACACGTAGTGGAATCGATTATTTCGATATTTTTTTTTTTTTTTTTTTTTTTTTTTTTTTTTATCTCAAAATGGATACGTTGTTACGATGGACAATAAGAATTCGTAACGAATTTTATTAATTAACAATCGTTTCATATTCACGAAAATCAATTGTCTCGATCATCTTTCATGATCAAACGTGAAACGCAACACGATGTCTGCGTTGTCAATATATATTAACGGATGTTGCAGAAATTATCGTCCATCTTTGTCAGGAAACGAACGATGATATTCGATCGTCCATTCAGAGATACAGAATATCGGCGATCATGTTCTAGCGACATCAACTTATGACTCTCTCTCTCTCTCTTTAGACATATCTCGTATGACAGCTCGTACGCATCCTAATATTAATCTATCTTACCACTAATATATCGACGCTCTGAAAGTTGCTATATATATATATATATATATATATACACGACTTGATATTAACGCTTGACTGCACTCGCTTTGGATATCGCAGAGAGAGAAAGAGAAAGAGGGAGAGAGAATCATTCCATCTCTCGTTCCAATTCGTTGCAAAATAAGGTTCTCCGAACCGAACACATCGATGTATGTTTATGTTAGAAACGTATATTGATATAAAAATTCTCGAAGGATATGCCAGAGCTCGAAATCTATTATCCAAGCGTGGTAATAAAAGCGTTCGACTCGCGAGGACTCGGTTGCTTCAAGTATGTTGGAATTTGCATCATACCGAGTATCAACATATTTCTGGAGCAGTTGATAACCGAGGATGATTACGAAGAGCAGATATACGGGACGAAAAAGATCTTCAAACCTGTGAAACATTTAGAGGAAAAACCTGAAACCGTTCGTAAGTCTCTGATAAGTTCGATTCAATTAAAATTCGAGAGATACGAGATTTTTAAAATTTATACGCGTCAACGACGTGGATGGTGGTAAATTTCAAATATGAAATGGAAAAGTGTGTAAAAATGTAATTTTCCGTATCGAATATTTTCTAGAATACTGTCTACTGCTATATTGATATTATTTCTCTCAATATGTAAAATATACAATATTCTCCGAGTTCAATTATATTGACACGGTTGACCGTGTAGTTCATGTTCACACTGTGTTCAACCGCTGTTTTCAGGGGTGTTTCAAGTAGTTATTAAATATTTGAACGCGGTTGGTTTCAACGGTTTAATAACGCCATGGAATATCCGGTCGGCACGCAACAGAAAACTTTGTTAATTAAAGTTGCACAGAATGTTTATACACTGCGAACAAATATTTTTTACCATTCGGGAGGAATTTGTGCCCGTGTTTTCCGGAAATCGGGAAATTAATTTGGGATTGAATTTTTAGTTTAGATTTGTCGTTTATTCGACAATAGTCGTGCTTTCGTTGAAATCCATTGAAAATTCCAAACTTAAAAACTGTGAAAAATATACAAACGTTTTATTTCCTTTCGAGATATACGTTTTAAAATCTTTTACAATCTTGCCTGATAATAAATATACAAGTGAGAAAAATAATAAAGTTATTTATTCATAGAGATGATTCGAGTTTATTGAAATTGTTGAAACGAAAATGAAAGAATAATCAAAAACAAAAAAAAAAAAAAAAAAAGAAACACGAAACTGTAAAACTAATTATATCTCAAATAAATAAGATCAAACGAAGAAATTACTTTGTAAAAATCGTTTTTAATCGTCAACAAATTTGACAAATTGATTGATGATAAAAAATTATTTTCAAGTGCCCCTGCCGATCGATTTCGATCCGAAAAAAGAAGACGAGCACAAGAAATTAATTCCTTACAAGAAGATGGGCGACAGAATCTCGTGGATCAAGAAGATTTTTCGCTGTTTGAAACATTTCTTCGCTCATCTGATCCACGCGAAAAGGAAAAAGGAAAAAAAAGAATTTCTCACGAGCGACGACGACGAGTCGCTAGACTGGTGGACCAAATACTTCGCTTCCCTAGAGGTAAGTGTGGAGGAGCAACGAAATGTCCACCGAATATTTTCCCACCACGTGTAATTGTGAAAATTGTGGTAAGAGGGACGAGACGTTTCCAGGAGGAAAGAAGAAAGGAGCTGAACGGTATTCCACCACCCGAACAGAAGATCACAGCGACGTTCAAGGTATCCTACGCGTTTAGCGAATTTTCACCAGCTCAGGTGTCTCATTGGGCGGGAAACAGGTATACGACGGAGAACTGGAGATGCAGCCGCAATTCTCCGGCTTCCAGGATCGTCTGAGAACGTTCGAGCTGTGGAAGGGGCGCAAAAGCGAGGAACCCGACTACGACAGCGAGAATTACGTTGGAAAATTCAAGGTTTGCCATCCCACCAATCTCAATTTTTCCCCGAGAGTTTTGTTCCTCCTCTAAATATTTTACCCGGCGAGATTCGATGGAAGAGAGGAGAGTTTTGCATCCTTAAACGTTCGATCAAGGAACGTTAAATGTTTGTTCAAACGAGCTATTAATTGGAGGAAAATCAGAAGGAAAAATGTCCGTTTTCTGGTGAATGATTGAAAGATAATTTCCAAAGGCAACTTTCTTTCCCTATTTTCGAAGAAGTAAATTTCGTCTTTTTCCTTTTTCCTTTTTAAATCGTTAATAATAAGAGAACGAACGTGAAATAATAGCAATTGGATTCGCGTCTCGTTCCGAAAATTTCATTTTAAATCGTCTTTTTAAAGATCCCGATTCTTTTCTTCTTTTCGTCCAAGAAAATTTCGTTAATAAAAATGATATATCCATTAATAAAAGTCTATCGACAGGGGCGTATTTGCGTGTATCGCTGGCCGCACCCCAGCAACTTGCCTTGCAAAACGAGAAGCGGGAGAAGCGCGAGTGACGGCCTGTGCGACGATTATCCGCATTCGGAGTCTATCAAACTCGTGGTTAGACTTTACGTGGTGAAAGGTGCGACGATAAACGCGATATATTTGATTCGGGTTCATCGTGTGACGAGCTCACGGGATCGAATCGATTCCACAGGCATCAACTTGCAGCCTCAGGATCCCCTAACCGGAAAGTCTGATCCGTATATCTGTATCCGGCTTGGTAAAACGTATATCAGCGACCAAAAGAATTACATACCGAACCAGCTAAATCCAACTTTTGGACGGTACGTGCTGACCATTGCATTTTAACTTATCCAATTCTTTGGAACTGGACGTTACAAAGAAATCATCTATCCACGAGATATCCTCTGATATATTGCCCCAATTGGGATCCCTTCTACCTCTCTCAAAGTTTATTCTACTCTACAAAGTTTATTCCAACTTTTACTTAGAATTATCACACATACAAAACTATTAATACCAGAATATCGAGATTTCAATTTTTTCATTCTTTTTCTTATTTATTTCAACTTTTTATTTCTGTACACATTCCACCAAGTTTTTTTAATTTATTTTCCAGGAGAAAGGAGCTCCTCCTCCTTAACAAGTTAAAATATACCAATCGCGTATATTTTACAGGTTCTTCGAGATAGAGGCAGTTTTCCCTCGCGATTGCACGATGATCGTACAAGTATGGGATTACGACGCGACCACTACCGACGACCTGATAGGGGAGACGAAAATCGACATCGAGAGTCGATTCTACAGCAAACACCGTGCCACGTGTGGCATATCCAAGATATACGCGACTGAGGGGTACAATCAGTGGAGGGATCGCGAGAAACCGACCCAGATACTCGAACAGCTCTGCAGGAAGAACAATCTTCCGTTGCCCGAGTACAGGAGCCATTACGTGAAAATCGGACGGAAAAGGTTTCCCTTCGACGAAGCCGAGCATCCGGAATCCGGTGCGTTTTAAAATTGAAACGATTCCCCTCCCCGATCAGGGGGGGAGGAGAAGGATGGAAGATTAGAATTACATCGATGGCATTCCCCTTTCAGAATTAAATGAATGCATGGCGTTGAGCGTGCTCCATCAGTGGCAAAATTTCCCCATTTGCGGCTGCTACCTGGTTCCGGAACACGTGGAGAGACGGCCGCTTTTTAATATAGGAAGACCCGGGTTGGAGCAGGTTGTAACGTGTTAGCCACGGCAGAGTCATTCGAGGGATTTTCTTTCGATGAAAAATCGATTGAAAAATGCCAAGATTTCGTTATTTCTCTTTCTCGATTCGGACGAATTCGTTGATTGTGGATGAAACCGGTTTCGATCTGAATCGGTCGAAAGGCAAATTTTGTCACGGCGAATTGCCGCGTTTTGACCGCGTTATTTCGAATGAATTACGCGAATGCCCGTTCTAGAAAATGTGATTTGTCGATTCTCGTGCGATCAGGGTAGATTGGAAATGTGGATCGACATGTTTCAAGTAGGCGAAGTTCCTCTGAAACCGCCGGTCGACATCAGCCCGCCCGTGCCCGAGGAATACGAAATTCGCGTGATCGTATGGAACACGGAAGATATACCTCTCGTTGAAAGTCAATTTCTTACGGGTGAAAAGTGCTCCGACATTTACGTTAAAGGGTAAATTTGTGAATAAGTAGCGATAAGCTCTAACGAGATTTGGCTTATCTTCGTCTCATCTCTGATATTAAGAAATCAATCGCAGTTGGATCACTTACGACGATTACCAAAAGACCGACATCCATTACAATTCTTTAAACGGCGAAGGCAATTTCAATTGGCGATTCGTGTTTCGTGTGATGTATTGCAAGAGCGAGCGCGTTATAATTGTCCCGAAAAAGATATCCATCTTTTCGTTGACCGACACCGAGGAGAAATTGCCGTGCAGGTTATACCTGCAAGTTTGGGACAGCGATCACTTCTCTCCAGACGATTTTCTCGGTAATATTAAATTAATCTATCTGTCTATTTTTATATTCCCTTCATTCTTAAATAAAATATTATAAATATTACCATTAACTTTGCCTCATAACTCTTGTTAAAGGAGTCACGAAGAAGGATGTACGATTTAATGAAAATAAAAAATAATTTATTTATTCAGGAGCACTAACGTTGGATCTGTCCGCAATGCCACGAGGAAGTCCGAATTCGAAAAATTGTACTTTGAAATTACTCAACCCGAATCTGCCCACGATTAATTTGTTTAAAGTAACTCGAGTCAAAGCTTGGTGGCCGTTCGAGCAAAGCGTGAACGCTGGCCAATACATTCAAGCGGTGTGTATATATATATATATATATATGAAAAATATATATATCGTAACGTTGTCTTCGTGGCAGAAACGAAGACAGTTTCGTTAAAAATTGATTCGTCTCTTAAAATTACTCGCTCGAAATATTTGTTATAGATAACGAATATACCCATTTATTTTCGATTTTTTCCGTCTATATTTTTATTTTGTAACGAGTATTCGTAGAGCATCGAAGTGGGCTAATGTGACGTAATGTGTACCATACGATCCAGGGTAAAATCGAAATGGAAATATCAATATTGAAAGCGGAGGAGGCCGACGAGAATCCCGCGGGCAGAGGAAGAGACCCGCCTCAAGAACTTCCACCACCAAAGTATGAAACTTTATTAAAAAAAAAAAAAAAAAATATGGAACTTCACTTCAGTCAGTTGATGAAAAAACTGAAGAAAAAATTTATACAATAATTTCATAATGAAAATATTTGCACTCGAAAATATTTTTCGCAAAAATCACTCGTGAGTGACCATAATAAATTTTTATCCTCGACCCCTCGAATGATAATCGAGGGTGATGCTTTGCAAAAGACTGATGTCGAGTTCCAATGAATTTCCAATAACGTGTTACATCATCGCGTATCAAGAAGTTTTCGTAAAAAGGTATTTCGAGGGATCGATATAAAAGCATCCGCGAAACGAAATATTTAATTATCGACGAGAAATCAATTCGAAATGATGTATCATTTATTCATCGATCGTATGAAATCAGCAATCGCGGCTGGATCGAAATAAAACCGTGATACGACGAACGTATCAAAGTTTAATAACATGCTCAACCACAAATTAAATTAACGTGGATATTGCTCTCCATCAAATTTAAATGGATTAATTTTCGATTTTGATCGTCAATCTGTATAAATGCAAGTAACTAACGAGATTATTAAGTCAACGTAGTTAATTCGGGAACCGGATGACATCGATGTACATATTTCCGACTAATCTTTGAAAGATCAACTATTTAAAGCAATGTCTGTCTGTCTCGGAAAGAAGGTCGAAAGATGTGATCCGTCTGCTATTCCATTGCTATCTACTGTTTCGTAATAAATAAATATTGAACTTATTTATGAGCTTGTATCTAATTAATAATCTGTGACGATACGTTCGTCGAGTTATTAAACAATTTTAATTTCTCGTAATTTCATCTCTACGATTCCGTAAAAATTCCTAGCTTAATGAGCTTTTAAAGCTTATTCGAGGTGTCATGGCAAATATTCAAATTTTCTCTTTAATTAATTGGTTTTTTTTTTATTTAAGAATGTAAGATTCATTTAAACAAAACGAGATATACATTGATGAATGAATTAAATTTAAATGAAACATCGTTGAATTCTACTTGATCTATGTCATTTTTTTAAGAAAGAAATTATTTTTCTATTTAAGTATGATAAATAAGAGATTTCTCTCAACATTTAGAAAAAAGAAAGCTAAAATTAGAAATCTAGATCCTTATTGGATGCATGTAGCTTTTTAATTCCTAATTTCAAATTACAAATTAAAAAAATTGTGGAAATAAAATATCCCAATCTTTAAAAAAAAAAAGAAAAGATATTTTTTGTTTGATCGAGAAACGAAACGATGTATCAAAATTACGATAAAGTTCAAATCTTCGAAACTATTTATTCCAATAAAACGATCGATGAATAACGAGTGTATGTAATTATATTCAATTACATTAAACATGGCCACGATTAAAACAACATTATATAATTAAATGAATATCAGTAATAATAGTGGCCATTAATATCCATCTCTACGTCTGTTAATCCGATCGGAAACATTGATCATTTTTCACCACGAATCAATCATAACCCAGAACGTCCTCTATTTCCTATAATTTACAGCCGGCCGGAGACTTCCTTCTCCTGGTTCCTGAATCCGTGGAAAGCGTTTCGCTACGTGGTATGCCGCTATTATAGATGGAGGATAATATGCTGCATCGTGTGCTTGCTGTTACTGGTGTTGGGCGGTTGCGCGATTTACGCCTTCCCTGGCTACATGGTTAAACGTCTTCTCGGCGCTTGAATCGTCGGCCTACGACGAAAGAAAACGATCAGAAGAGATATCCGGTCGATCCATTGCAGCTGGTCTGTCTCGTAAATCAGGAATTGTGGTGTGGATGAAATATCGATTCTGACTACTCTCGACGACAAAACCAGTTCTATATTTCAACACCAATTAATTGTGAGAGAACACAATGGATTCGCCTATTTAATCCATCATTTTTCTAATTAATTCTTTATAAATTCGAATCGATAGATCATTTCGTTCTCTACACCTTCGAAATAGTAACGTTTAATTAGGATTATTTGTTATTAAATATTAGTTGATATTTTGTGTATCGTAGATTTTATGTAGTTTACGAGTAAAATAATAAAATATATTGTTATATCGATTGAGAATGGGAATTTATTTTCTTCTTTTTTTTATTTAATTTGAAAATATGGAATTTCGCGAATTGGCCGTGTATGACCGTGTTTTGGATGGACAAAAGAAGAGAGATTTCTCTGAGAGAAATAAATGGTTCGTGCAATTTTGCATGTCGAACCTATGGAACCTATGGAAATGAAAATTGAAACGTTCACAGGTCGAATTCACTCGGCCGATCGGTTTTCTGACGGATGCACACAACTATTTGCAAATTCCTTTTTTTCTTTTTTTTCGAACATTCATGTTCGCGTATCTATAAGATATTGAAAAGCCAGTGAACCCATAAAAAATTAAACTAGCGAAATAACATTTATTATAATCTCGTATATTAAATCATACATGCTATTTATTAAACTTTGTGATAAATGAGATATAGTTTTCTAAACTTATTAAAGTTTTTATTAAAATTCGTATATAATAAAAATTGATTTGATTTTCCTTTTCTCCAAATTACTTCTCTTAAGCTTTTCAATAAATTATTTTATTACTTATTTAAAATTCACGTATTCACAACTTAAATTGGATTTATCTTTCTCTAAAGAGAATTAAAAATATCACAATATCAAATTTAAATATTCTCAATTAATATCCACTAAAAAAAAAAGATATTCACAATATTGTTATTACAAATAAATTATTGATTTAATCATAATCATACAATCGTTTTACGATTAATGATTGCTGAATTAATTATAATCTTTAATTATTTCTTCCATTATTTAACATTATTTACTATCTAATATAAATTATCTAGCATAAGTATCTATTTAATAATCACGATTAGTAACATAACTTTACATTAATCATACAATTTTCAACCGTTATATCTTGTTCCAATCGTATCCATTTATTTATCACAACGCGACACGTCGTTTTTCTGCTAAAAATTCCACGCGAAACTGATCGATATGGCGAGAACACGCGAGGAATAAGAATGCAGAAAATCGTGGCGGGTTTCATCGACCGTTCGCTTCTTCTTTCGTGATTCGAGGCACTTTTTAAGGATCATTTGCTCGTCGGTAAATGCGGTGTCTTGGTCTACGCGGTTCGATAGACGAGCTGCCAGGTGGAAAAGAGGTAACGTGACGTAACTGAAAGATCAATAACCCAACCGTTTTGTTCGAAAGTTTATTGAACTCGACTTTTCTTAATGGCCGTTGTCTTGTGACCTGGTCATCAGACGAATCCCTGTGTCTTCTGTGTCTCTTTTACGATATTCCGTGAAACAACGGGTTCGTACGGTTCCTTTGTGCCTTTCATCCCTTTCGTTCTCCCCCCTCTCCTAAACCTCTTTACCGTTCAACTCGAGGGGACGCTTCTAATCTTCCTCTTCGATGCGACTCGAGCTGTGACTTCGCGACACTCTTGGAAAAAAAAAAAAAAAAGGAAAAGAAAAGATAAATCCGACTATTGGATTTATACGCTTTTGTATACATTGTATACAGCTTTTAAAGTAAAAGTGTCGTGAATGGTTATGATATTTGTGTCGAGGCGGGATCAAATAAAATAACGATGAAATTTTTCGTTTCATTCTTTTGAAGAGTACTCTCTGATAAATCGCATATGCTATATTCGATCAAAACGCAACGATATCTGCGCGTGAACTTTGAATTAAATTTTTTTCTTTTTTTTAGATGAAAAGCGATGGAAATTTATAGAAAGTTTTATCGATGTTTCAACGAATCGAGAGATAAAAGCCGTAGGTCTTTGTTGTAAACGTTGTTGAAACGTGAAACTACAAATTTATGTTCGTTTTTCTTTTCTTTGGAATAAAATATTCTTATATAAATATAATATTTCCGCTCGTTATCGGTATTAAGATCCGAGGAAAATTCGAGGAACGTGATGCGAATTCTCGTTGTAATGCAAAACCTATTTTTACTCGGCGGATTCGACGAATCCATCAAGTATGACTGACACACGGATGCGCGAGATGGATGTGTAGGATGTCCACATCCGCTAATGAATATTCCTTTCTCCCTATTTTTATATTTTAGAGACGCATTAATATCCTAATGTTCAAAAATTTCCACGTTATCGTTGCCACGGTGAACGTAATTATCTTACACGTCGAATACTTTTGTCGAAATTTAAATCTATCGAATAAAAATTATGGAATGTAGAATTTAAAAAAAAAGAAAATTCCCTTCGATATAATTTTCAAAATTACGCTGCGAATACAGCAGAAATACGAATGTATTATATCGAAAAAGACGAGGCAAAGTACTTGGAATAAACACGGCCGCGAATCAATGACCGGCGTCAGGCGAAAGGGGTGAACACACGCGAACCTGCATGCGGTCCCGGTGGCGAATCCATAGTTCACGACCGCATTCGCGTTGCATGCTGCCCGTCGAAAAACCAGGTCTCTGGGAAACCGTTAAACAGATTCGAAACAAGCGAGGAGTTTCGCGGGCTGAATGGCCTCGATGCAGCGGGCCGGCCGAGTTTGTCAGGCCAAGTTTTCGGCCCGAACCAACCTAGTAAATTCACTTATTACGGAGGAACACGGAGTCACGCGAATGCATATGGCCAAGTCTCGGTTGTGGTGCATGCACCCGCCGCGCCGCCGGGTAAATTCGGTTTTAATGCATCGCGTGCCCTATCCGGCCAAGTATCTCTCGATTGCTGGGGAGGTGGGAAGGCCAATGACCCCCGATGGAAAGTTTCCGCCAGTTTCGCGATAACGTCCGGATTTTCGCTTAAGACACTGCTGCTGCTCCACCACCGATTACCACTCTTGGATTTTATGATGATGGAATTATCACGATGATTAAACGACGAGATATCTGGCCGGAATTTATGCGTTTTTCGAAGATATTAATTTCTCTCGTCTGTCTCCGCGTTTCGTTAATGCGAAAGTTAGAAAGTTAGTCTGTTAAGTTTGGTATTCAATCTGGTATTCAAAAGTTTTTAAATATTCGATAATACGTATACGTGTATGTACATATATGTACTTCGAAGTCTCAGAGAAATTTGGTTCAAAAAATAAACGCGCAACCCGTGAATCTAATACGAAAATCTGGTTGAACGAGATGTTCGCATGAATGTTTAAATAGGAATTACAAACGATTAAAGACGCTGAATTAAATCCCAGATTTAATATTTTTTTACTATATTTTATAATATAACGCGTGCAACGTTACAGTCTTCGATTAAATTATATCCCCAGAAGACCACGGAGTCATAAATAAGACGGTAAGGTTGTTACCTCTATTCCATCGAGTTATCTCTGGGGCAGTTGCACCGCAAACTAGGAAGAGCAAGTTTCTGACGACTATTTCGAGGGAAAAAAAAAAAAAAAAAAAAATAGAAGAGGCAAAAGAGGTTGGAAATAAGGAACTTGGCCGTTTCCCGGAAGTTTATGAATGGGCTGGGAAAAATTTATTCGTAAGAGGTGAACGAGGAACAAACAAGTTTCGCGATGTCAGCTAAATTTTTTAAAACGTCTGAGAAAAATAACGTTGGTTCGTTAATGGTGGTTGAATATACGGTGGCGAGAGAGACGAGATATTGTTGGCTGATCTTTCACGAGAGTTCTCATTTTCACGTGAAAACCATACTCGACGCGAAAGTAAATATCAAGGTACGCGAAACACGCTGCGAAACAAAACCTGGTTCAATTTTCTTGGGAATTTCGCGGAATTTCGCAATGAAGCAGAGGCGAGTCGATTGTTGGCCGTTGGCCAGTTATCGAATCCCTATTACATCGTGACCATTAATATCGCAATCGTAGACACACGTTCGTGCCTCGAAAATTTAACGCCGCGAGTTTCCTGGAAGGCGGCGGAATAAATTTCGTTACATTATTTAATGACCATAAATCGTCCCTTCTTCCGTGCTACTTCAACGAATGAGGACTTAGAAACGAGGACTTCTGCGTCGCGGCTACCAACTCTTTGCATTTACTTTACAACACCTGGCCTCGTGCTGCACGCCAAATAACTTTATGCAGATCGAGTATATAAAACCAAGATAAATAAATTTTAGTTAGTCAATGTATGATGTGTAATAACCATAACGATGGCAATTATGATACTTTATTGCTAATTATAAAAAATATATTCGAAGAACGTTTGTATTTTCCAATAGTTATATATTTTGCTGATCTGAATTTCACAAACTTTTAAATTTGAATAATTTAACTGTAAAACAACTATGCAAACTAGTCATTAGTATGAGACACTGCGAGAAAACTTATCAAGTCTTTGAAATTCGAGTAAAGAAACATACTTCTATGAAATCTAACATATGGGTCGCGACAGAACTTTGTGAAAAAGTTTCATAAGACAAATTTCCAAGCATTCGCACCCTGTTGTCAGGAAAGAAGTGTCGTGCATACAGGGTTGCAAACGAGGTCGTGCTAAAGTTTCTAAGAAGTTTTATGAACGACAATAAAACTGGTAGATCATATTTTATCGTAATATCGATGAAAGCAAATTAGAGAATTAATAAATATTTTTAATGAAAAGCACGATTTTCTTGTAAAAAATGTGATAAATTATGTATGTTGATATAAACTTGCTGATAGGTCACGTTTTATTTCTATATTTTAGCATTAAGAATCTTTTTTTGAACAAATGAAAGGATAGAATGTAAAGTATAAACGTTAATTTTAATATGCAATTTAACCTATTCTTATAGTTGTTTTACAGTCATTTTATAATCATTATACTTTGAAATTTTTTTTTTATTATCTGAATTATTCTCTACTAAAAATACTCAAACCTTATTCTTTATGTAAATGATAATAAAAAAAAGTCTAAATTATAATTATAAGTTTTATCCTTTATATAGGTAAAATTTTTGATTATCATTGGAGAAACTATTGGAGAAATAAAAATTTCTCATAGTAAATTCATAATCGTGTACTGATGTATTCGTATTCAAGGATATAGTAATTTATAATTTGTTTACAGGCGATTTCATCTAGAGTGCTTTGAGTGCTTTTTACGAGAGCCCCCGCATTCTAACGAGAATGTTGATGTTTCGATGAAACTCAATATGATTTAGAAGGTAAAAGCCTTTCTTCGAGATGACGAGCTTCTATCTTCAATTATACTTGACATCTTGCAATTATTTGCCCTATATTCATTTTTATAATGGAAAAAAACGCAGTTAGTTATTAGATAAAATAATGATTTCAGAATTTCTCGCATAACGATTCTTGCAGTTCTTTTATTTTTATCGTATTGCTTCGATAAAAAATTTAGTTTGAAGCATGATAATTTTATAAACAATTTTACAAAATTCTATTTTTATTAATTTATCTTTTTCAATATATTTATATATATAGATGAAATATTTGGGATTTCAAAAAAATTATTTTGTTACGTATTCATAACCTATAAATTTATAGATCAGAATCTCGATCAAATAAATTACGAGAAAATTCGAAATAACTCAGATTATTATTCTAATGGCAGAACGAACAATATAAATTCAGATACTTTACTTACTACATCGTAATTGAAGATTGTAGAAATGTATGATTTGAGTTTCTTTTGTTGCACAAGAATTCTTCGTTTCTTACAAATATCGTCTTCCATGAATAGCATCGTGGTCGTCTATCGAGAAATCGAATATCGAAAAGATCCTGTTTCATAATACAATATTATTTATGCGACTAATTTACCACAATAAGAATGTTTTATAAGTATAATTTTTTATAATATTTTAAATTCTATAAAAATTTAATAACGAATGAATGGTGATTTTATTAATTTTCGATTCCATTCCAAATTTCTTATTGAATATTAATGTTCAATAAGATCACTCAAAGTATATAAAAATTATACTTTGAATTACGATAATTCATTTCCATAAAGAAAACAAAAACAGAAATAGTAAAAATATGTATACTTATGTATTCCAAACGAATGCTTGCACGATACTTGCATAATGATAGATTTGCAAATTATCAACAATAATCATTAAAAAGTATAGTGACTGACTTATTATACATGTATTGCACTTTTACATTCACAGAAATATCCAATAAAATAATTTTGCGATAGGCAATTGTCATTTAATAATATACTTAACCTCATTCTTGTGATAATAATTGTACGTTTGAAGTATTGCTGCACAATATTTTCACTATTTTATACACTTCTTAATTCAAAACAAAATATCAAGCTTATAATATTATAATGTTTTCATTAAAATCGCGCGAAATCAAAACTCGATACTTTGTACAATGATATCCTTTTATATATATCGTACATTAGGTTAGAAAGAATATGTTCGTAAGAATATAAAGTAGCTATATATATATTCACATAATTCTTCGCTGGTAAGCAATATTTTGCAGTCATTCGTCTCTTTTGACTATCCTTTTTTATCGTGAAGTAAAACAAGTAGAAACGGCTGGCAAACATCGAAGCGAGAGAGAGAAAGTCGCGTCGTTCACCCCTCATACGACCACGTGACCCGAATGGCGCCGACAGCGAGTGCGACGGCCCTGAACGCTGAGCGAGACAGTGGTACGCGAAACGTGCCGATGCCGGCCGACTACGCACGAGGGCGTCGCGAAGGCAACCACGTTTTCTACCCTCATTTTCAGTCTGTCGTGGTGTGTCCTGTCGGCCGGCTGGTGCTTTACTACACGCGCCCTTCTCTCGTTTTCTCCCTCCTCCGTTCGTTTCTCTTTCTCTGATCGGTGTTTTCTTCGTGATTCACTCACTGCGTGATTTTAATTCTCGCGCCAAATTTGTCGTTGTTCCCGTGCAACACTGCGGCGTGGAGGGAGTCATTCGATGGATGTACGGGATCCAGTGAAAAGCCGGCGAACAGTGTTGTGATTTCTTTATTTTTTTTTCATGTGAGAACGACGCGTATTCGTAATCGACTTGGTTTTGCCGCGTGTTTTAATCGAGGACCGGCGTGACAACGATAGTGTGCTAAAGGAATCGTCCACGGCGCGGATTTGATCATAGTGAAAACGGAGCGGACATGCATCAGAAGAAACGCCGTTCCACGGACCGATGAACGTGGCTGGCAATTGACTCGATGGCAGAGGGACGCTGAGGTAAGTGAGTTCAATGTACGCCGACGACGATGTTGGCACGCGAGAATCTTCGCCCAGAAAAATAAACTGTGTCGGTTAAAAATTCGACGGGTATTCGATTCGCCGCGATGTGTTGGTACCCCTTGCCCGCCTATTCTGTTAACCGTTCCCCCTCCCCCCTAGTGGCGTCTCGCGCATACTTCGACCGTCGATCCTTCGTTTTATCGTCGTCTCGTGACATGTTTGAAATACGTTATACTTTGCGCGAAGATTAATTTCCGTACTCTTCGCATGTGTAACGTATCTTGTTATATATGCGATTTCGATGCGTTCGATACCACGTCACGCTCTTATTGTTTTAATTGGCTAAACTGATCGATGAAAAGTACGAACGATTGCTACGGAAAGTTTCAGTTACGAACGTATACGCTTTTTTTCTTTAGGTTATGGCTAGTTCGCGCGTCCTTGTTTAAATTCGTAATCATAGTAAATTACGTCTTATCTAATGTTATGTATATCTTATTCTTAATATCGTCGCATATTCATGTTTGTTATGAATACACAAATATTAGCAGTTTAGTATTGTTTCCACGAAACGGAGTGGAAGCATGTTTTGTTTTGAATTTCGAAGTAACCTTTAGATTCGTTGATATATTAGTGAATCATAGAACATTTAATAATACAATAATCATCGATCACATTGAATATTGTTTCTACACGTCTATAAACCACAAGCTTTATAATGCACTTATGTTAGATTATTTATTTATTCATTGCATAGTACATCCATATTGTAAATTATTTCGCAAGTATATATAAACTTCGTATGTAGGCGTGTACCGCTTCTCTTTAATTCTACTCGTAAATTGTTCCATTTAATTATGCGTGAGAATAGTAAGAAATGCTTGGCAAAAACAAAATGCGATATCTGACACGATAATTTGTCGCTGGAAGATAGAAAGTATGATAAAAATCACTTAACGAATCAATATGTTTGAACGAAACGAATAATTATATAGGAATCTATGAAGGATAATATTTTTTTTTCAACGTGGATTAATGTTTGTAAATTAATAAGATCTATTAAGCGATTTTCTTTCATTTTTTTTTTCTAACTAGATAAATATTTATTGAAACAAAAATTAGTAGTAATAGATATATTTTATATCTGAAAATTTATATTTGTAACTTTATTAATTAATCTATAAATTGAACGTATGCATCCAATTCCAATATGTACACGTTTGTTTCGTAAATTAATTAGAAATTTTTAAGTTGGATGGAATTTAACGACTGTTTCCGGGTTAACGTGCCGTAATAGTGGTCGAGAAAAGAGTTAGAGTTTATTAACAGGAGCCACGAATAGATAAACCATGTGCACCGCGTATGCAACACGCTACGTGTCTTTCTTCTTGCGGCATCGTTGCAAAGGGTGAAAATAGCGCCGGTTGCGTATAATTTATCTGCTTATACGACCGCGATGATAACGTGGTAAAGAGAACAGCGAAGAAAAGACGGTGAAAAGAAGGGAATAGTTAACGTTCGTTTAACAAGATTAGCCAAAGGAAAAGATTAAAATTCACGGAAATTCTTTCGCGTTCCTTGTTATTTTCCATGAAAAAGGTGTGAAATTGTTCTCTAGTTTCGTGTAAAGATTCAAAGATAATGTTTCGTTTGTGAAAGAATAAATGGAACTTGTGTTTCATTTTATTTTTTTACAAAAAATATAAAAATCAGAAACACTATTATTATATTACGGATATACAGGGGTGTAAAAAAGCACGGGTATAAGGATGGATAGATTAAAAGTAATTTCTCCGTTCTGGAAGCAATTTATCGATGTAGAACTAACATAGTAAGGAACAGAAACGATATAATGGAGGACGAGGCGTAATTCAGCATAGAGCAACTTTTATGTGATCGTAACAAGCTTGAGAGGAAGATATATCGATGAAACGAAAGAACTTTTTATTCGATGGATTATAGGCCTCTAAAAGAGAGACGTGATAATGATAAAGCGAATAGAATAGATTTTTTCACGATAATGGTAGGATGTAGAATTCTTTTCAATCCCCCAAGGAATTTCATTCTCGAGGAGGGAGATATATCTTTATATAAAAAAAGAGTTGTCGAATAGAAACAAAGAATTGACAAACAATGAATCATGATTCGCAAGTAGTAATAACGTTTAATTTGAATATAATACTGTCTAACTTTTCGGTCTAAAAAAAAAATCTTGATTTAAGATTACAATTTAAACGGAATAATTAAACTCGTTGTTGATATGCGGAAAATATAAGTAACTTCGAAACGAAATTTTCGCGAAAATTATTTTCCAAGAGTAAGTTGGTCCCTGTGTAAAGCAATCTAATTAAGTACACTAATAATATTTAATAAAGAAAGGGTAATGGGAATAACGAAGTTTCTTCTGTATCATGGGAATTTCGTTCGTTCGGGCATAGAATCTTCAATCTTTTGTTATTTCTCCCGTTCATTGTTCCTCTTTTCCAAGTTGTCCTTCCTCTTTTTCCTCGCTTTACAAAGGATCCTGTAAGAATTGATCAAACTTTAAAAAGTTCGATTCATCCGTTGCTCAAATTTCCGCAAGAGAGATCGTTTCTAATATAAGCGTGGTAAAAAAAAAAGAAAGATTCGTAAATTAATATGTTCTTTCACGACAAAATTGTTATTGAAACGATCTTAATAATTTCCGTTTAAACTTTTCGTTTAAAGAAATTTTTTAAAGAAAACGGAGAAAGATCTTTTTTCTTTTCGGTTGATTTCTATTAGTATTTCTCTTACAGTTTTTATTTTTAATTGAAATTCATTTCGCAATTCATCCAAGACTGCACGCAAATTTCACACGCATATATTTTTCATTTTCTTTATTCTATTTTTGTCTTTTTAATACGTAAATCCACCTAAATTACGTATGATATTTTTCTTATTTCTTTTTTTTTTATTATCAATTATACGTAAATTTCGCATGCGTCTACGCTTCTTATCTTTTTTTCCCCTTTTTTTTACCAACTCAACGTTTAAAGCTTTCAAAAATTGAATGCTCTGTAAACACGATTCGGTGTTTCCACGTTTTCGAGGTGGATCGTGGGTGAAATAATGATGCTGTTAACATGCCCTCCTCGTACGTTGAAAGCTCTGTTTATCTTTTGAAAAGAAGCGAAAGCACATTGCAACTGCTATGCTATGTTAATCGCAATATGGTTGTAATATCATATATATAGATCTGGAACTAAAAATATAACGGAACTAATTTTGAAAAATGTACCGGCGTAGGATTGCTTGGATATTAATAATTGGCAAAAATAGACGGCTAAACAGGGATAAATAAAATTCATTGAAAGGAATGAAACGATAGTAGAGCGAACATTAGCTCGATGTTGTTGGTAATCTCGTTGCGTAATATCGGTATGGTTTATCGGCGAACTACCACTCGTGCGAGGAAAACCATGTTTTATAATTTACTGGTCGAACTGTGAGAGAAGAAGAATTTATTGCATATCGAGCAGGAAAATTTGAAGTACTTTCGAAAAAGCGGTCGTATATTTCTGCCGTTGCTGTTTCTATCGATCATTCGGTTATATGATTATACAGTACGAATCAAAAGTGTTATAGATATTCCTTAATAGGTGTTATAAAATCTCAAATACTCAAAAATTAGATTATCCAATAGAAAAAGTCTTCTTTTGTCGAAGATGCATCGAGTTAAAATTACTGACTTTTTCGAATTTATTAATTTAGAATTAATAAGAAAATTAGAAAGAGGTTATGAAAAACAAAATAATTCAAAGAATTTTTTGCCAATACAGTGTTAGTAGATACACGAATAATAGGATCGAAGTGTAAGTTTATCTTACAAATATGCCAAAAAGATATTAATGATTCGAAAGAAAAATCGAATCGGGTGAGATAATAGAGCGCATTAGAGAAGAGAGATTTCTATCCGATTTCGTATTTCGGAAACGGATGCAATGATTTGTCACGTGGAACGATCTTGAGCCTGCTGCATGATATTTTTCATGCAACCCGACAGACAGAGAATATATCGGATTCGAATCCGATGATTGATGAGTTTCTCGCGTGTATTTGCTGTGAAAGTTATCTTATGCGAAATGGTACGGGTACAAAACTGTTTCTCGAGAAACATTTTAAAGATTATATTCATATTGCGCTATTTTTAAAAATTAAAATCAGTGTTTTCCACGCAAAGAATGTGGAATTCTGTGTCTGGTCTGAAAGTTTGAAATTTAAATTACAAAAAGATGTTGCGTGTAGAGTGTATTTATTAGGATGAAAGTTTTGATTAAAGAGCTCACGATGGAGCAAGAATCTGATAATGAAAAGTAAGGTAGTATGCAAATATGTTGTATGCATTTAAATCGAGTAAAAATCAATTTATAAACGCCGATTGACAATTTCAACGTGATCCTACAAGAGAAGCATAATTGAAAAGACGATAGAAAAATAAAAACATATCTCGTACAACGTTTAAATCGGATTATCGAGATGCTTTGCATTATTATCATATTTATATCGTTGAACGTCGAGTAATTAAACTTTCGATCGAAAAAGTTATTCGTACCCTCTTAATTAATCTGCTCTTCATTGAGCAACATCTCATCACCTCTCAGATCGTAGATAATAATCTACGAGAAAGAGAGGCGACGTGTAAAGTGGATGTGAAAAAAACTTCGTAATTTAATTGTTACAACTTCTTTACCAAGAGCTTTACCATCAGCCGTTGTCTTAGAGTATGAATGTATTCGAGAATAAGACTCTCAAAGAAGTTGCATTTTTTCGCAAGGAAAAACTACTATCTTGAAAAGTGAAAATTTTACTTTCAAATGTATTCATATCCTTGAAATAGGATGAAATTGTTTTATTTTTCTTTTTTAAGAAATCATTCGTAGCAGTTGAAATTACAAATATTTTAACATGAGAATTACAATGATCGTACGAGAGATATTCGCACAGTGAATAAATCGATTTCTCAGAGGAATAGA